TCATTCATACTAATAGCTGTTTTCATAATTTAGTACCATGGGATGTGGCTTTCAATTAAGAAGACAGCAAATTATACCCTCTGGGAAAGGAAAAGAACAGTTTCATTTTTATGTATGCCTGGTGGATGTGTGCACAGCAAGAATAGGATTTGGGGTCATATCTTCAGGGTTTTTGCAGAAAATCCTTTGTGTGTGTGCATGTGTAAAAAGAAACACACTTACTCTCTGTTTATCGTGAATATGGGTATAAGAATCTGTCTCTCTGATCTTAAACTCAGGTTAAAGTTTCATCTTTCTTTAAAGTTTCTTCAATTTTTTTTTTCACGTTTCCAGACTAATTATCAATCCTTTTACAATTTCAGTTAGGAATGGAAGTGATAAATAGAATCCTAGTTGCTAGCCAAGAAAGTAGATCTAAGTGGTTATATCAACTTCTTAAGTCACAAAGGAATTCTCAGGGAACAGTGTAGAGCTAGCTGAGTGGTCTACACTGGCTTGTTAGTTAATTCCTGTTTGAAGAGTTAAAAGGAATAAGACCCATTTCTGTGTGGCCTTGAAGTTTATGTGGCTGGATTAAACTTTGTGTGACTTTATTAGATCAAAGCAGACCTAGATGTTGGACACTGTTGAACGGCTATACACTACTCTTTGATTTTTTTAAAACACTTTTGAAAAGCTCTGTACAGGAAAGCGTATAAATCATAATGTGTAGCTTGATGAATTATTACAAAATAAACAAACTTATGTAACCAGCATCCGGATGAGGAAAAAGAACATCACTGTTTACTTTTAAAGTATGGGAATCTTCAAGTTTCAGTTCTTTTTGGCTGGATAATTGTATAAAACCTATTAACAAATATCACACTACTTAAAAATTTCCTTGTGTAATTAATAATATAATTCTGTATTCAACATATGATTGTCCTACAGAAAATTAACAGTAGTACAATCAATTCTAAACCATTTTTATTTCTCTTAGAACATTTAGTGTTTTTCATAGGATTCAAAAAACTGCCAAATTTTATCCCTAAATATATTATAGTACCTTTAAGCCGCTATGAAAGTCAGTGCATAATTTTTGGAAAGGTAACTCAGACCTTTGCTGACAAATAAATCGACGTAGGATCTCAATATTCTGTCCCAAATCTACAATCTAATTGGTACACCAATAATCAAAAGTTGAACTCATAAGCAAATATAAAATGTGAACTTTGTAGGGAGATAGAACACAGCTATTGGGTAACAAGAAAATCTGGAAACTTATTCCGTTTCTCCCTATACCACTGGGCCCATCTCATTGAGTAGCTTCTCCCACCAGTCTGCAAACAACAGATTTAGAATCCAGTCTCCAGATTCTGTTCCAAC